ATACATTTTAATATTAAGGTTTTTATTTCTTTTTACCTGCCTTTGGCGTTTGCTTCTTTCAAATGCATTCCCTCAGTTCTTGTAAATGTTGTTCTGCCCTGTGAATGGACTCTTCAATGCTACACGAAGTGTCCTGCTTTGTATCTCTACGTCTATACAATATATTGACAGAAACATATGTTTACATATACAAATACATAAGTACAAAAACTTGAATTTCTCATGCAGGTTTATTTTACAGGTTCACAAAAGTCAATACTGATTTAAAACTACAACTTTGGACCTACAAAAAAAACACACTATTAGGCCTCTAATTAATGTTCAATAAAACTATCTGAAATAAAAAAACTGAAATGAAAGTTGGACAATAACAACACAACCCATAGTGGTATATGGATATATATAACATTTATTTAAGTTTAAATGTGGTTGCAATAACAACACAATAAATAGATCCATAGTGATATCACAGTACACAGCAGTTTTGGATTCACAAGAAATAATACTTACTGAGCATTCACAGTAACAACACTGAACGGCTACAGACAGCACAGCTCATTTTCACATGAAGCGATAATTGGCGTTAGTGGATAACATGGCCGGTGGGCTTTCATAACAATGGTGTCAAGACATTTGCAGAATTGAATGTTCATGCACTACAAGCCTAGATGTGGATTTTTAGTTAGTGGCATAACCGAGTGCAAAACCCCCCCAAAAACAGATGATCCCTTTTTCCATGCCAACCTGTGATAGGACAGGCAGCTTCCCTCGTGTTGTGGTGATGAAACAACATTCAATAACAAATTATACATCAGAAATGCTCAATTACATAGGCCCACAAAACAGCATGGAGGGGAAATTAATCCTGTAGTGCAAAAAGTTAAATGTTTACTGGCTGCAACTCTCTCGACCATAAAAGAAAATCAAAGATAAAAACATGATTTTCTAGTGCTTGTTGTGCCCAATCAGAAACAGAAATGTGTAGCGATACATTTTTATAAAAAGTAGAACCTTTAAAAAAAACAACCTTCTTCATAAACACAATGTAAAAATAATATGTAAAAAATAAAATCTAAAATATTTTATAAAACAAGACAAACTAACACATATGAAATTAAAAAGAAAATAGATTTGGTCATCACAAAAACCCAATCTTGGCTATATCGCTTGTTTTGGATCGCACAGGGGAATTAAAACTTTATTTGTAGCAATGAGAAAATGCGATGGCTCATTCTCATTCAGTTTATCTTAAAAACTAAAGAACTTATGAGGAAGTGCAACGCACCGTCGTAAACAATCAACAAAATTCTCCATATTAAAAGTACATTTATAGCAAAGGATCCAAAAATCCTTCCTGGCATTTTCCATTTTCCTTCAAAATTCAAGTTCATTTTGGCGTAAAAAAAAGAAGAAGAAGAAAAAGACAGATAAAGGGTTCAATTTTCCTTCTTAATCCTGTACATTCACAACCTTACAAATTACGTCAGCCTTTATCTCTGCACAAAGCTACAGTAATAAGGGATTATCTTGTTCTTTCACACAAACTGAGAATCAGCTCTTTTTGGATTATCCTCACCAGCAGCCTTCCTCTTCCTTCTCTCCTCATCAGATTATGTTTGGAGACAGTATGCATACTGGGAAAGCTGGGGTCTCCTACTCACATCTAAGGCAGCTATTTTCGCACACTTCCACCTTTGAAGGGAGGAGGGACGAACCTGACATAAAGTGGCCGACCTCCCTGCAGGTCAAACCTACTCTCAGTCAACAAGGAAACTCCGCAGGCAGCTTTCTGTCCTCGCTCGCAGAACATTTAGTGTCATTGTGGAGTAGCTGGGTTTCTCCTCCAAGTGGCGCATATTAGACTTGGAGGAGGGGGTGTCTGAAGGTTTGAGGTTGTGGAGCAGAGCGTGAAGGTCGATGTACCTGGAACAGAGAAGGTGAGACTACTCAAATGTCCAGACCTCCAAACTGTGGATGCTGAAGTCCTGCTGAGCTGAGAGCGGCTGGTTGTTGAAGGTAGCGCATTTGGTAGAGGCCCCTCTGTACAGCTCGGCATCAAGCCACAAACCCAGCTGACCCCTGCAGAAACAGGAGGAGAGACAAAGTTGTTGCGTAATTAATGAGCAAATAACTTTGTTTTTAGTCCCAAAAAAACGTTATTAAAGGAGCTTTTCTTATTTCCTCCTATGGATCTTACCCTCCTCCTCCCATCTGCAGAGAATCAATATTGCCTTTCACAAAGTAAGAATTCTCCCCCGTCCACCGGTACACCTGAAAATAAACAGCAAAAACACAGTGTCTGCATTTTTTGTATCAGGAATACAGATAAATATTTGGTTGTTAAGCCGACTTTGTTCGTACCTTGATTTCAGGACAGAAGTTGTAGAGGAACGTCTCTCCTGTGCCGTAGCAGTGTTCGCTCACTCTGAAGGGATGAGTGGAGAACGCCCCGAATATCTGTGAAAAGAGTCTAAGAGTGAGAGCACTATTGCATTTGGAAAACAATATTAAATATTTGTGGGTGGGTATTTGCATAATTGTTTCAACTAGAAATTAT